ACTGCATCTGTAATGTTGTCATGCATATACAGTACAGAAGGCAAATCATGCACAAGCCCCACCTTTACTCCTGAGATAAGGAACTCATCAGCTGACTTCACCATGTTTTTAAAGAATCCTCCAAACATTTCCTTGGCATTCTTTCTTCTCACGCTGAGCTAAAACAACAGAATTTAGAAAGGATTTGAGAAGAATATGATACATTTGTTTAAGCTTATTATATGATGTAGCACCCCAATCAATAGTTATCACTTTATCATTAACAAACACGATGTAGCCTTTCCTCCTTTATCAGACTACTTAAATATATGAAAAGTTAACTCTTGGTTGTGTTAACAAATCCTACTGTTACTGAATGACAAAGACTACACAGATAAGCACAACTGCTGACCACAGCAGGATGTATCACAAGAGTGCAGTAAACTCTAGTTCCTCTCTTTCCAACTGACAAGTCAGGAAAGGAAGTCAGCATTATGGGGAACTCACATCCTGGTCATATTCTAAGAAAATCTGGAAGTTTCTGTCTTTGCTTAAATTGGGGTGAGAGGATAGCCTCTGCAGGAAAATTTCGTGCACTTGAACAGTTTTCTTGAACACAGCCAGGTATTCACTGAAGAAGAAGAAAAAAAAGGTTACAAAAGTTAACATTTGAAGATGTTTTTGTAAAGGATCTGACATTACACTGGCTTAAGAATACGATACAAAATACTATGTTTGTTGTCACACTCACGCCTCCAGCTCCTGCTTCATTTTAGTGTACTCCTCCTTGGTCATAGTGGCTTCACCTTCTCCAAGTTTGTGCATCTTCTCTCTTGGGCTCTCAAAGTCAGGCTTTGGGGGTGCTGGAGGAATCTAAGAATGATAGAACGAGAAATAAGTCACTTTAAAAATCCATGACACATTGAATGATGGTTAAACATAATTTAACTTGTATGAGCTTAGATATGAATGCTCTCCCACTGTTTGGCACATTTCATTGTGTATTATTGACTTACTGTGTAACATACTGTTAAACTTTTTTTTCTAAAACGTAACTGCTTGATTCATTTGGAATATACATATTAAAAAACAAACTAACAAAAAAAAACAACTTGCTGGTATTTCTCCTTTGTTCAGCAGCTACACAAGTGCCAACAACAAATGGTAATAATAGAACTTGCGTCTATGTATGTGAGTCATGCCCGCAAGTAGTCCAACTCACTATTAGGCCAGCATAGTCCTCTGTCTCTACCAGACTGTCATGTAGCCAGATGAAGTCTTCATGCTGCCTGGGAACGGAAAACTCTGGCTTCTGAAAAGAGCTAAGTGTGGTCTGGGAACAGAGTTATTTTAACAGTAGTTTGTCAACATATGAGAAAATATTGAATATTTTTAAGATTAGGAATAATTGTATGCATTTCAATGAGTCAACATTGGTGTATGAACAAATTTTCACCTTTGTATGGACAGTGAACTTGACTTTGTCCCTTTCACAGAGTGCATCAGGAATGTCAATGAGAAGAGAGGCATCACTGTTTAGATCCACAGACACAGAGCGCATCTGAAGAAAAAGAACACACTAGGGTTATCCAAAATAACGAACTGCTGAAACTTACAGTGTCAGTGATGTTCCATTGTCATGTACAAATTCATACTGATATACACTACTGCTGATTGATATGCTGATGCTGTGCATGGCATATTCACTATGACTCCCTTTCAATGACAGATACCACTGTTTATTGGTATACAGGTGGTGTGCCACACTTGTGTAGTGTCATATGTTGTTTCTTAGTGGAATGCAAATTTTTACCAGTGGTTATGTCCCTGCTGTCAGACATCCCACTGATCAAAGTGGCACATTACACTTTCCCTTTAAATTCACTAGGAAAGTGTGTCCAAGCTTTTGACTGGTAGTGTACCACTGAGAATCGACATGAAAGTAAAACTGGGGTGGCACACCACCACCTGGTTTACCGGTAGACAGTGGTCGTTGGCTGAATTGGAATAGGGAGCAGTTTACAGTTCGCACACAGCATCGGCGCATTTAATCAGTTTAATTTAATATCAGTATGAATCGGCACGTATATATGAGAAGCGGTAAAGTTATACCTCTCAAAAACAGAGCTTGCTAATTGTATTAGGAATGTCATAATATAATTAACTCATTTCACACTTGTCAGAATGTTAACAGTTTTAGCACAATAACGTTAGTCCACTGAGTTGCCACAGGCCAGTGTGTCGCACAGCTCTGCAATGCAGCAGTTATCAATAGGTAGTTTAACTTGTTGGAGTAAAAACGCAGTGGAAGACAGAACTTGTTGGAGTAAAAACGCAGTGGAAGAGATAGCTTAATGCCATACAGCCCATGTTACTTTTCTGAGACTTTAACTTTAGTTAACTAACGTTAATCGTTGTACCTTTTAATATGATCAGTAAGCTTTTCGCAAACAACTTTTCTCGGCATACATGCAAACTGCCACTACCCATTTAACGTTATTGTTAATGCACTTCTTGATAGCTTTAAAACGTTAGCTAGCTTTAGCCGGAAGCTAGTGTTATGCGGACAGAAAATAGATAGCGGTAACAACTTGCGAGAAAGCAACGTTAATGTTAGCCACCTTATTAGCACTTGAGCTGACTTTTGGTGCGTTTTACACGCCAAGACCCATTTAACTTACCTTTTCCTTATTGTTGTCGTCTGGGGCGGATGTCATGTTGGGAATGAAATCGACGCAAAAACAGGCCCACAACCCAAACAAAACTATGCAGGAAGCGCTACTACCTCTTTCTGGTTAGCTACCAGACGAGCTGTCAAAGCAGTTTTTTCATGATGATAATCAAAGGTTAGATCCCGCCTTAAAGTGAATTTGACTGGGCAGTGTCAAATTTATGAATACTACGATTGGCTGTTAACCTAATCAGTCATATGACATGTATGCCCCTGTGTTTTTCTATAGCATAGGCTTTGACGTAACTTTAAATAGTGATGTTACAGTCTACTGCCGTTACATAATGAACAGATACTACCTAATGAGCGGAAAAAGTAAATGAAAGTAAGAGCAAGGGCGCAGAGTCAATGGTCGCACGGATATATTTCAGTGATACACTGCGCCTTATGGGTAATGTAGTTTATGTTTGTTATAAATCCATTCATGATACCACATTTGAAACTTCAGTTCCCAGCTACGGAATTTTGTGCAACCGAAGAGATGCGTCGTTTAGAAACAGTTGTTTGTGCGTACGAGTTACACTGGAACATGTTGGGGCAAGTACCGTGGCTAGAGTGAAAGTAAAAACTATCTTAAGTGTACTGTAACATATTCAAATGGTTGTAGTCAAGTGTAATTGGGTAGCCAATAAATTATTATATTCCAAGCGTTTTTAATGCACGTCGCCAGAATGTTCATTCTTAAACGTGTGGTGTCCTTTGGAGGCATCATTGTCCTTCCATGCACTTCCCTTTCTGCGTGTAGCTTATCTGCTTGCCATCGTCTAAGGTCCACCAAAAGACACAGCCCATACAGCTCGGTGGACAGTGAGCGCTACTCTTCTCTTGTGAAGTCCGTCATGAAGTCCAGGGTCACTTCCCAAAGCCCAGAAACCCTCCAAGCGGAGGACGAACACATTTATGGACCTATTGTCAAAGCCCAATTGCCGTCCTCAAGACCAGACATGAGGGTACCTAAAACCCTTCATCCTTTCTTACACTGCGAAGAAACTGTAGAAGCAGAGGAATTAGAGTCAGGGCCTCCAGCCCGGATTTCTTCGAAAAGGGGCCAAGACAAGTCTTCTATACCGAGCGTGACTCGCATTCTTCAGCAGACGCTCTCCCCAGAACAAATATTCTACCTGGAGAGATGGAAAAAGAGGATGATCGCAGAGCTTGGAGAGGATGGCTTCAAAGAATACACTCAGAGTAAGTTTTGTTACATGATTGTAAAAGGCGGTTAACGTGTGTCTGTGATCATTTCAAATTGTAAGTTGTGCATTTGTGATATACAGTATGTGAATGACACAAAAATGTTTTGAATCAGATTTATTTAGACAAGGCAAGCTTTTCCATTCAGTTTTGGAGGACATCCTGATGTCTGGTGAATCATGGAAGAACAAAAGTTCTTTGGAAACACCAGAGTATCCACCTGAGATCCAGGGATACATGAAGAGCATCTCCCATGTACTGGAGGATGTCAGTGCAGTGAGAGCTATTGAAAGCACTGTGCAACACGACACCCTCAACTATATGGGAATTGTGGATTGTGTGGCTCGCTACAGGTAAATATGATGGTTTGCAGACACATAGACTCAACAGACAAAACTTGACTTTTCTCACTACCTTCACTACACTCATAGCCTGTTTATATCTGCAGAGGTGTACTATGTGTTATTGACTGGAAGACCTCAGAAAAGCCCAAACCATTCCTAAGCAACACATATGACAACCCTGTTCAAGTGGCAGCCTATGCTGGGGCTTTGAACAATGATGGAAACTACAAATACCAGGTGAACTATTGGGATTAATGATGTAATAGTCATTTAATGATCTGATTTTGACCCAGAGTGTTTAACTGTCTTTCAGTCTGTAATCAGATTGTTTACTTAATAGATGAATTATACAGTCTTTATAACTTTATACTCCACTAAACTCTTCTCATTGCAGGTTCAAAATGGACTGATTGTAGTAGCCTACAAGGATGGTACCCCTGCCCATGCTCATCAGATGAGCTCAGAGCTGATGTTGGAGTACTGGAAAACTTGGTTGCTACGCCTTGATGAGTATACAGAACAGAGGTGAAGTGGTCAGAATTGGTTTTCCCTTTTTAGTTCCATTTTCCAAATTTTCACCTTGTTTACATTAAGATTTTTCTTTTCATTTTAGATCCAGTGCATCAAGTGCTTTTTCAGAGAAGAGATGAGATGTGTGAAGCGTGAACGTTCATGAAGTACATTATTTCAGTTTAAGGCAACTGAACCAGAACTAAAAGTATCACATACTCCCATGCAGTAGGAAAGTAAAAACATTAGCTTTTCACCCTAATTTCCAACTAATATTTTCAAATCATGTAACCCATATTCTGTGATACAAATGCTAACCAATTAGTTCAAATTCCAAAAGTAACTTATATGAGCCTAACATTAAGGTAGAATATACAGTATTATGCTTATAACTGTATTACCCTTGAAATATTTTATGCTCATTGAATGTATAAAAGACATGTTTGTATAAAGGATCTTCAGAAAAGCCCAGGTTTTTAAAGAGTCTGTAGGAAACCATGTTCTCAGGCTCTACAAAGCAGTACACTGGGTAGCCCTCAGTGTGGAGTCTCTTAGCCATGGTGCTGACCACGACTTTGGCGTAGCCTTTTCCTCTGTGCTCTGGCAACGTGTACAACATCCCCATGGCACACGACACATACATCAGCATCCAGGACACCGGTTTTCCTTCTGGATCCAACACGCAGCAGGAGGGGAAGTGTGTAATCATGTTGCGGATCATGCTGACAGCAATCTCATCCTTTGCAAACTTCCACATCTGATTCACTAGGCCTAGGTGTGATTCGTCCAGAGAGCTTAGGGAGATCCCTGAGCTGATGCAGAACAGAGCAGATGACTTTTCAAAGCAGAATCCTGTTTAAAAATTGAACTGTAAAACGTGAGATATTGATTTTATTGAGATTTCACTTCAGGGTAGGACTCTACCTGTCTACTTGGGGGAGCTTGGATACATCCTCCAGTATCATCGTATGACATACTGCCAGTGTGCTGCTGGGCACGCCTTTTTCTGATGCCACTGCTTTGAATATCTCCATGTGGTGAGGATTGGTTCCTTGGACAGAAATAATAAAGTTTTTTTTTT